AAACCGAATAAACATAATGTCCTATGCCATGCGTGTCAAAAGATCTAGTCCGGATGAATGGATCTGCAGCCAACTGTAAGACATATATTTTATTGAATATATTGTGTTTACTGTTTATACTGTTTATAAATGCTACAAAGGTATGATACGTTTAGTTAAAAATGAGCATTTAATGAAACCGCAGTGAAGTGTCGAAGTGCTCTCGTTTATACACCTTTTTGAATTTGAATAGATAGTTGGGTAGCGATTGGCATGTATTCATGTGCGGTCGATCAGAGTTCACTGGAAATATAGTCCGTTAACGGGTAAAATGTTGTTATTATTAACAGTTTTCACTCGAATTCGAGCGTCTTCGATATTTAAGTGGGTCATAAAACAAATAACATGATAAACTAGGAGCTTTGTGATTCACCGTGCATTCTCACTCCCCACCCCCCTCTAATTATGAATCTTATTTTTATAATATTTAAGTAGGTATAGGTATTTAATAACAATATTTTCAAATACCTATTTATATTTTTTCATACTTTTTTTTAAAAAACAATTTTTGCTTTAAATTGTGAAGTAGATTATCTAAGGATAATAATGGTCAACGATAACTGATGAGAGGTGTAGAAGATATGAAGTCCATGATGATTTGAATAAAGTAATAACTAATATGATTAATCTATGAACATTTTATAATATGTAAAAATTGTCCACAAATAATAAATTAGAAAATACTATTTTTGATATTGTATAATTTATTTGCATTTCTCCAAAAAATATTTTTAAGGACTAAGATACTTAGTATATACATTTTAATAGCTCAGAAACTATTTCTTTGCATTTTTATTTAAATACATCAACATTTTCAAAAAAATAATTTTCTCAACAATTATCATAAAAAGTTGGTTTTTATTTTTAAAAAAAGAAGCTTGTCCCAGGACACTCCTTAAATAGTAAAAAATTACTTAATCATTGAAAATATATTGTGTATAGTAATCCCAAAAATCAAAATTGAATAAATTCATTATTAAAGGATATTATAATTGAGACATGATATGGTGAATCATTATGTGTCTATGTTTAATGTATATATATATACTGTATAGTGTGTATAGTACAATATCATAGTTCCAGTGAAGAGTAACTTTTGGAAAAGTTCTCTCCTAAAAATCATTTCGCTGATCTGGGCATTATCTTAGTAGCCAGACCAGTGTAAACACATCTATGTATAATGACTCATGAGATCGAATTTAACTTCGTTATTATACAGTGATTAATATTTAATAAATATTTTGTGTTTGATTTTTCGGTTTAATAAATTACGACATCAAGTCAAGACGTAATCATTATGTTATTATTATTATTATTAGTTATTACATACTACTGTACAGTCGAGCGGAAATATATAATTATAAAATCGATCAATAAATTTTTTAACCTTGAATAAATATCTCAGCGATTAACAAGACTAAAACGAAATAAAAATGATCATACTGATATTTAAAATGGAGTCAATACATTAGCTTCTATTTTATAGCAGTAATTGTTTAAAACTCATGTTCAATTATGCAGTCAATTTTATATTCAACAGTTATTATTTCTGTGCAATATGATGTTTTATCTTCGACTATACACCAATGACCAATATAGTCTCGAGTAGTAGTAAAAAAAAACCCAAAATAGTCATTGGAAAGGTTTTTACAGAAGAGTCATTGATTGGAAATTGGAAAGAATAATTTATTATTTATGGAAACAAATGAAAAAGTGCAATAAGACACATCATACAACGATAAAATTGATCGGTTTGAGGCTGCACTGCATCGTGGCAGCGTAGTTATTTCCCAAGATAAGAATCAGAGGTACTACGATCACGGCTAGCCAGACGATCGTGACACATTTTACGGATTTTTGATGAAGTCGTACTACACGGCGCTGATGAATGCAGTGAATAAAAAAAATGTAAAAGTTAACAGAAACGAATAGCTGATATTCTGTGAGTCTGCACTCATATTATTGTAAGTTACTTAGAATATTATTGTGTAGAAATCATCGTTGTAATACTCGAGAGTCCCCGCAAGTACTTACTATCATTACAATCGTCGGTCACATAATACGACATGGAAAATTAGAAACGATGTACCATTATAATATATTAAAGTCCCGTAAGTGCAACTAAGTGCAAAATATCTCTGATGATACCCCCTAAAACGGATGCATATAACTGATAATTGCATATAGAGAGCGAAATTTTCAAATTAGTAATTACCGTCAGCACACGCTGTAAAATCAATGATTATTAATGTAATATAATAACCCCTTATGCACAATAACTGCAAATTATCTTTAGATTTTAATATGTACCATAGCATAAAAAATTGAGATTTACTGTGTCAAATGAAAGAGTTGCCGTGACCCTTTTACCAGAGATAAGACCATCGTATTTTACCGATGCAGAGCGATTTATATTATTTTCACTTATTTACGAAATCAATAAAAAAATAAACAATTTATATGTTATTACTTATTAACCAAAGAAAATCTGTGCTTTCAATATCGCGTATATCACAAATTAATAATGTTATAGTAAATGTTTCTTTTTCAGAACATTGTTTGTAGTAGACCGATATTTAATGTTTACATATTACCCGGGGTAAACATGGGGTGGCACTTCGCATCACAAAAGTACAACTATGTCATGACGTATACGTGCCTACACTATGGCTCTATAATAGTTCCTATGTGTATCACAATTTACAGCAGCAGGGCGTGTACTCGGCTGACGATTATTATCCGCGGCGTGTGGGTGTGTGTTTGCTCGTGTAAATAATATGGTACCTACATAAATGTATACACTATACATTTATTAAGAATATATGTGAACACAATACGGATATTACAATATCGTATCGCGGCCCGAAGGGTTGAAAACGAAAATAAATAACAGCACGCTGCACGCACACACACACAGACACATCATAATATACTATAATATTGTTGTGATAAAAGTAAAGAACGGAACATCATCGTAGTCTGAAGTGGAAGAGCGGGTAATACAGATGTGTGTGTGTGTGTGTGTGTGTGTATCCTGGTTATGTGTCGCGTCGATCAATTCCTTTTATTGGAACGTTAAAACTGACAAGGTACACCTATAATGTATACACGTGTACAGCTACCTAGTTGTAAATCGGGTTCTATTTGACCTTTTTTTCGCAGCCACGCATTATGATATTGTACTACACGTGTGGTTCGGCGCGTTCAAATATAAAATGCGTCACGAAGACGAGAGCAGTTTGCAGGAGACCCCGGTCGGCCAGGGGTGGTGGACATTATTTTATTATCGGACGTTCGGGATCTCTTTGCAGCGCCCGGCACCTATAACCGCGACTGCCCGACAGACAGCACCGGCGCAGAACCTCTCACACACCCACACACACACACACACACACACACACACACCTCATGCCGTTTAAACCCGTCTCGCGGACTCGTGGAGCACCGAGCACACTCACACACACACATACCTAAATACGTATATGTTATGTATATAAAAACCGCCACACCGTTGCCGCGTCAAGTTTCGTTTTCTTCACGAGGCGATCCCTCGTATATAAATGATGATAGTATATCGTAGGAGCCGACGCATTATAAATAAAATGTGTGTGTATGTGTGTGTGTGTGTGGACTAAATTATAATCACGTACACACCGTGCTGCAGTGACAGGTCAGACAAACGGAAGCCCCGCACTGCAGCAGCCCCCCAAAACAATCTCATTGTCCGACACCGCCGGCAGAAAAGCCCGCTGCACGTATATACGTATGTGCTGCTATACTTGGGTGTGTGTGTGTGTGTGTGTGTGTGTGTGTGTGTGTGTTTTTGAGAGCATTATAAAGAACACGTGTTCCGCCGGCAGTCGTCGCGAGCCCGGCGGGTGGTGATGCCGCGTACATAGGTGGTACGACTTTTTTCGTATTATTATAATATGTGCCTATACATAATATATTCGTATACAGTACGTATCGCCGAAGCGTTTGTACCAAATGCACCTACATATCATATTGTAGACGTCAGCAGTCAGCGGTACTTATGTATATAGTATATTATTGTGCTCTTTGACGGAAAACGGTGCGGACCGTCCGCCGCCGCGCCACTGCAGTTCAAGTCTGGTGCACCGCGGTGCAGCAGTCATTTATGCACAATGTGTGTATGTACATATAAATATATATGTATACATGATCACTGCCGGATTTACTCAAATTATATGTATATATATATATATTATACAATTACCTAATACTCGTCGGGTACGCCCAAGTATGATGAGGTCGCGAAAGACTTGTAGCGATGACGGGGTGCGTTGGGTTCGATCGTATGGCTTATATTATATACTTTTATGTATATCCAGGATACGCGTGTTACATATTTTATGTGTACGACGGTACACAGTTATAATATATACGCGTGCATGCCAGGTGCAACGTAGGAGGTCCTTGATCAGCGCACTATTGTCTGCAGCGCCACCGAGAGACGTACGTACAAAACGTATAATGTACATAATATATTATAATAATATGTGTAGCGTTCGTGTCGATGCCATTATTGGGTACCGACACGGTGGCTTACGAGCTTATTACGCACCATAATAGTTAGGCACTTATATATTATGCGGCTATGGTTTATAAATTATAATAATGTCCGCACTGCACCGAAAGGATTTTGTCAAGTCAATTATGTGTAGGTACCTACTGCGAGTGATTCAATTGTCCCGAGCACCGGGGAATGTCTCAGGGAATACAGGGAATTTATAAATTATTTTTAATTAAAATGAATGATCCAATAGGTATTGCCGATTAGTGTTAAGGTAATCCCCTTTATGTGAGTATATAATAGGTTTCGGGTATTTTAAGATTCATATCATCATCGAGTATAAAAAACTTTCTGTATGTGTGATATTATTATACCTATATATGTACTTATAACGCCTGATTGATGTTTAATTTAAATGATAACTCACTGCGATAAGATGTTTGGATAGATCGTCTAACATAAGTTTTCTTATTGTGTAATTGGATATAAAATGTGTTTCGTTGAATAATCGCATTTGTTCGAGCGTTACTGAAAAATTGTGCAATGAATCCCGTAACACAGGCAAAAGTATAAACACCTAGAAAAATATAACACCATACATTAAAATGGAAAAAAAAATGTTTAGTCAATTTAATAAAAAATATTACATATTTTTTATTATTTTATTTTTGCACATTATAAATATATATTTCGTAATCTGTAAAGTAATTTTTTTACAATAAGCGAAAGCGTTGTGTGTTAATTGCTGCTCGCGTGAAGAACCCATCCATTGATGGAACTACGTGGTTAATTAAATTGAATAATGTACATTAATACATTTTTTCTTACGGGTAAGGTGTCATCAATTGAAAGCATAAAAAAGCGGGTTGCTTTCAATATTAATAATATCGGATAAGCCACTCTAATATAACTGGTTCAATCTATTAAATAGACCTTATTTTGAATTGTCGAAATCGTGAAAAATTGTCTCGAGTATTTTTTGAAAACCGTTAAGGAATAACTAATATAAATGTGGATTAATCCCCCCCCCTCCACCCAATGGTCAGCGAATAACCTTAAGTAAGCCACTAACTGAACTAAAATCTTGCATCTCTACTGCGACTCTGATCTTTTCCTTTTATCTATATTAGTTGAACCAGTGGATTCTATTCTAATTATACTCTATTGCGATCAGTCCAAGATCAGAAGTAATATTTTTGGTAAATTTGTTGACAATTTTTTAAAAACTGTGAATTTGAGTATATGTATTACGTAATTTGGTTATTTGGTTATATCCCGACTAATGATTTCTGCATTTTAACTTCATATATTTTGTAGTCCATCTATCATTTCCGCTTTGCTTCAATATTGAAATATTTTCAATTGTTTTTTTGTAAAAGTTGTTTAATATTTCTTTTTAGAGGTTAATCCTTGACCATACTCTTTGACTCTTATATATAATAATTATTAGTTAATTTTAAAATTATATAGAAAAGCTATTTACTTATAAATGACAAAATATAATACTACTAGCTGACCCTTCACATCATTTGCACATTCTTAAACTCCGTTAAATGTAAACTGCTCAGATTTTTAACACATTTATTTGGGTAACTAAACTATATTTGGGTATAACACCAGTTTTATCTATAACAATTATATTATAATTATATCCAATGACAATCTGTAATCAAAGGCTATCTTTTAAATAAACAAAAAATATTCGATTTCCGTGAGCCAAAATAAAACTACTAAGCCACCCCATAGAAGCAATCCTTAGGGGTTATTAGAGGTTTAAGTTATAAACACTTTCGAAGTCTCAAAGAATGTCTTGATATAATGTTTTTGAAAACGGTACAGTAGTTATTTAGTAAATAAAGAATAAACAAACTCACTAACAAACATGCATCCTAACATTTTTTTAGCTAATCCTCCTAGCTGATGTAAATAAATTATAATGGATTTTCCCGGCTTTAAACTCCGTTAAATGTACACTACAGATATTTGTTACACAGTAATTTGGATAGTTTTAAATAAATACAAAATACACTTTGCACGTCTAATATTAAATACAATTATAATGTATAATAACCATTTCATTTCATGTAACCAATAGCAAGTAAAATAATATTTTTTTTCCGCGAACCAAAAAATCCCTATGGGAGCCTCTCTTTAAAATGAAAAATTAAAAAATGGCTTCAAGTTCAAATCCTCGGGTATAGAATTTTAGAACCACTATTGTCATGGACTTCGCTGTGGATAATTTACACCCACAACTTTTGCGTTTTATTAATATGGATGCAGAAACCGATATTCAATCATAATCATTATTCAATTATCTGTAACTAATGGCCCTATAAATGAATAAAACATATATTCGATTTTCATCGGAGGAAACAAAACGTATGTGTAATATCGTGTAATATCTCGATCAATAGAGGTTGAAATACAAAACAACAAACCCCTCCAAGGCTCAAAGAATCTATTGATATAACTTTATTGAAAATGGTCCAGTAGTTGTTGAGTGTAAAGCGAATAAAGAAAGAAAGAAATACGAAAAATTCATTTTTATATAAATTGTTATGTAATTAATTCATGTTTGCAAATAAGATACGCCATTAAAAATATGCAATGTATGAATTAAATCAATGCATTTACATTTTGATAAAATGTGATGAATGAATTTAATTTCTAGGATTTATTTCATATTTAATTAATATAATTATAAGATACGTAACATTTTCTAAAAAAAACCATTGAAATATTTTGCATTTTTTGAAACATTTAAAAAAAAATAGACCAATACCTAAACAAAATATAAATTCGTTTACGTTTCGTCGTTGCATCAGTCGACAGTAATTAAGTAGAACAAAAATGCGTTTTGTAAACTATGCATAACACGCGTTACGACAGCACATATATTATTGTATATTTTATCAACGTGTCCGTTGACATTAATTATTAATATGTGGATCATCCCACTAACCTATTCAATTTAATGAGGTAATATTTCAGTTTTTTTTTGTGCACACGCGCGGGCTAAAAAATATGTTTATTATACTTTTTAGCTATTCTGGCACCCGTCGCCGTGTCGAATATATATCACTTTCACGTAGGTACCAAGTGGAACAGTAATTTATCTCACGGATTGTTAATAATCGTCGCCCCTAAATAGCCCACCGAAATTGCCACCCGGCATAGTCGCAATGGTGCCACGTTTCATCCGCATTACTGACCCTAATTTATAGTCTATATTTTATTAATATATTGTTTTTTATTAGGTACTTGTAATTTAGTGATACCACGTATATCATTGGTAAATGGTAATGATGTCGTTTGGATTTTATTACTTTCTACTTCCTGTTCACAAGTATTTTTTAACACCCCCCGACCTTCTGTTTTAGCCTTTAGGTAAGTCCTTAGGCCTGTTGCGATTTAATGACGTTAAACGCGTTATCGTCAAAAAAAAAAATCGAAAGCTATTTTTACGTCAAAAAAATTTCGATAAACACTATTCCTCTACCGGGAGTGTGGTATTATAATAATATATTATACTATTATACTCGTATACCTATCCATGTTACACAACCAAACCAGGAAAATAATTTTAAAATTAATTTCCACATCTTTATATACGCGGTGTACAACGGATTGAAAAATAATTTATTAGCGTTATTGTACAGAGTATACGGATGTTTACCAGTCCGTGGGATTTCGGATACACAAAATATATTTCTAACAATGCATTTTATCTTCGATATAAACATTCTTTTAATGTCTACAATATAAATTGTAATATTATTGCATCGTAAAGTACTGGCGTACTGCAGCGGTATAAACCATGTACGCGGATGTTTATGTGATAATGCATCGGATGGCATGTGTTAGGACTTCGTTGGTCGTTATTATACTGTTATCATTTGGCTATCGTACGGAATTGTTTGAGTAGATATTTTGTATACACGGAATAAGCCCCCAAATAGTTTTCCAGACTCTGAATCCGTACTTGAGCATTGCGATGTTCACGTAATAGCCGATAAGAGGGTGTTAACAAATCATTTAAGCCACTAAAATGCCACTCCTCTTGCCTATGGTCATATCCAGTGGATCGACCAATAATGTTTTTGTGCAAAAATGATAAACATACGAACGCATCACTTAGGTTTAGGTACAATATTTATATAACTAATTTCGATTCAAAGTCAAATACGAGCGGAAAGAGAAATAATATCATCTTATTTTTCGATCCGAATATACCTACCCACCCACCTATTATAATTTATAATACAACTGCGCATAATATGTAACAATTTTAATTAATTTTGCTCACCTTGGTGTCCTTGTCAAGCTTTTTGACGTGTTTCTTGTACCAAACCAGTGACTGAGAGGGCAACCACTCGTAATGATAATTTGTTTGCATCACGGTCTTTACCTGTAAACGAGTAAACGTATAATCATATTGTATTATCTTCGAATACATCGTCAACACAGTTTTGGACAAAAAAACGACAAAAAAAACCTATGTTTTAACACTTTTAACATTGATTTATTATATTTTACAATAAGTTACACGGATAAATATTTTTTTTTTGCGTAAAGATCCGGAAAAAACGTTGACACAACGTATTATAATATAATAATATATTATATTGCATTCAATTGTACTAAGAATTTCAGAAATGTTTATGCAAATTCTCACGTTAGAGATCTCCACTGGAATTAAACACTTGTAAAGTGGCAGACTGATATAATGTGAATACCATTCATTTCGGATTTTTTTTCTACTCTACACAGATATTTTCAAAGTCGTGTTTCTATAACATTGTACAGGAATAGTTATGTGATAAACTTGATGGGAGATTACAACAGGTACCTGGTGCACTGAAAATCACGTAATTTAATAACATTGATAATTTATGGTCTGATTGATATATAATGCTGGACTAAATGACTCTGAATGTATCGGTCTAATACGTCAGGCTATAATATTATTAAATATTTAGTGTTGAATAATACATATAATTGACCTCGGGTGCAATTATTCACACCAGTATTAGTTTTTGGTTTAATGTCGTCGTGATGTGTATATGGGTACATATTTATTGTTATGATAAATAAATAATTGGAAGTCTATAGGTCAAAGAAATAAACGGTTCAATTAGTGATAATGTTGCATATTATCAGAGATTTAATTACCAATAATAAAAACGTACAGATTTTTAAAAATCTTTTATAACAATGCAGTACAATTAATAAATATATATACCTAATAATGTTTTTCAATCCAAGGCTGTAATATACTTACATCCGAATAAAGCCGGGCGATTACTTCTCGGTTATTTCGAAAATGATTTCTAGCTACTTTTAGCTGCGTCCGCACTCTTTTCAGTATTTTGATGTCATTGTTTCTATTTAAGTTTATCGATTCTTCGGTTGGGTTGCGGGATTTCGTAGACATGTATATTTCGTTGTTTTTTGCGTTCGCGGCTATCTAAACAAAATGTAAGTGGTAAACAGTGTACAGATGGCGAAGGAAGAAGTATTCCCAAATAGCATAAATATTAAGCATTGATACTCACTAGAATATGACCACAGTGTCTTATGGTTAACGAGGTAATGGGCACGACCGTGAAGTCTAAATCGTTATCTTTTGCAGCCGCTGGCATTGCTAAACAGACCAATAGCAAAAGTGATACTCTAGTTTTAAGTTTTCGACTTATTTTACGACTGGCTGGAATACAAATAAAATTTTAAATTACTTTTTATGACGAATTTGATGCAACGCTGTTAAAAATTAAAAATTAGAAAGTTGTATACCATCCATATAGACGCACGTAAATAGTCGATGCAAATCGTTTCGTGAAACAAGTCATTGAATTATTATAGTGGGAACTTGAATATTATCAATTAATAATAATCAAGGTATTTTTCATTATATAACATATTTTCAAGATAATAAATAGATTACAACTTTAAATATCTCTATATCAATGTAGTTTAGAATAAGTACCTATTTAAATATACAAATTAAAAATGTTGAAGTGTAATTTATGAATATAGGACATGTAGATACACATATCGAGTTTGAAATCTGATTTTCAAGATTATTTAATTCTAAAAATGTTAATTTCGGGCTAAATTAATTAACGAAAACGTGTATTCATTCAATTTTGCTTGAAAAAAAATTATTAGTAGGTATTTATTATGTGGAAATAATAGAAGGTAATAATTTTTCGATAAAAACTTTTTTTATTTTTTAAATCCACATTCTTGACTATGGACTCACTTACCTACACACACACACACAACACTAAATTTGTGAATGTGTGTATAGTGCGTATGTCCGTATTGTGTTTGTGTATTTTTTTACGTGTTGATTTGTCCACACTCAAGATTTACAGTGGAGTTTAATATTATACTATATTACACAACCACAGTACTGCAGGGACATTAAACCGGAGACGATAGGTGGGTTTACTATCTAAAACAGAACCTTAAAAAGCAATAATAATGTATGATATTCGGTAAAAAAAAAACGACGGTGGTGCTGCAGCTTCGAAATATCATGTACATCAGACGCAAACACCGTTGTCACAAAAAGTCAGAAACACGCAGGACCCCTCGGCGACGACCCCGATTGTGCCGCCCCGTGAACCCGAGGGGGTTAGGTTTGGTTAGGTTAGGTCGAGGGGGGCCTCGACATAACGATCACGTATTATTATATTGTAGACTCTCATTGAGATATGCAGATAATATTGTTTACTCACGGGTGCAGTGTTAAAATGTAAAAGGTCGTACATTATAATTCGTCGTGTTTTGTGTGTTGTATTTCGAATACGTATAGGATATGTTTAATTAATGTATGTATACTGTATAGTTAGTACAAATTATCTGGACGAACAGACACACCTGGATAAGCACATTTATGAACCGATCGGCTAGTATTATTGTTATAATAATATTATTAAAACTGTGATGATGACTTGGTCTGTGATTATTATTGGTGGCTCCGTACAATATCTGGGAAGTACCTACCTGTATAGTGTATATAATTAACATTATCACAAAACGTTTTTTTTCATATCGATAAATATGGAGAACTATAAGAATCAGGAAATGTCTTTATTAGATATAGGTTATCGACTTATCGTTATCATTTTTTAAGTTTTATGCATTTTCAATCACCACGTACATATTCAATTTCATATTCTAAATCTAATTCTAAACTCGTAGTTGATTACTATGGGTAATGTGTAAATAAAATAGGTACCTTCGTACCTACATAGGCATTTAAAGTATTAATAGTGTTTTTTTTGTAGAGTAAAGTGCCATCATACTTTAGCCATAGGGTACCCCCAAAAAATGCTGGTGCAGTACTCCGTTCATTTTAATTTCGGGTTAACTGATAAAATAATCACCCTGTATGCATTATATAGAGTGGTTCAAAACTCTATACAGTATTTATATGCCACCAAACACCCATACACTGTGGCTGTATAATTAACATGTCACCATTTTAATATATTATGTAAAGTTTTAAAATATTAATACTTCATAATAAAAACCATATATGCACTTTACACTTTTGAAATGCAATTCGGGTAAAAATAAATTGAGGGACACCGACGATCGTCGTGCATATTACATATTATTGTTAAAATCGATTAATTAAACATATCACGCGAGACGAAAAAACGTGGCGCACACCCAAGTCACTCGAGTCTTGTGAATGACTGCCACCGATCGAACGGTCTGACTATAGTTGTGCCAGACGGATGAACACGTGTGGAGGCGGCAGCGCGACGGCTTATGCGAAGAAATGCATCGACAGGACCAACGTGATAATAATTTTAATTTACGAGTTATATTACGGTAACGGTTGCATAGATAACCCAGATAGAATAACTACTATTAAAATCAATACAGTGCACAGTAAATTATTATATTAATGAAAATCGCGATACCGTACTTTGCGACTGATGATAAAAGTTAGAACAATGTTTTTGCCTGTACATTTTTGCCCATTTTATCCCGAAATTCATCAAAAATGTAAATACGATCAACTCTCCTGCACATGGATGATATCATATATGATTGTAACTTGTAGTAAACACTAAAACGATTGTAATAGTTTATAAAATAATGCATGTGATGCGGACGTGTGCGACGAGCGCCCTCGCTCGATGAATAATGATCGATCGCCTTCCCGTCGCGGCGCGAGACCGTCGGACGACGCTATAATATTATTTTCCGGTACTATACGTCCAATTAATTATTTCGGCAGGCCATCAACTGTGTAGGTTCAATAATACGTACACCTATATAGGTATAGAGATCCGCGGTCTCAGCTGCCGCGGGACACCCGCCGCGACCCTCGAGTCACGACCCATTTTGTCAATAATATTAATAATAATAATAGTAGTAGTAGTAGTAGTAGTAGTAGTAGTAGTAGTAATTATAAATTATGTATTATGACATGTGTGTATTTCGTTTTGTTTTTGAGACGACCTCTTCGAGTCGGATCGTAACCGAAAACTTTGTGGTAAATACCTTATTATACTACTCATGTATATTAAATCTGTATACATTAGCGTTTCAAAATCAAGGTCCATTGCGTATCTACCTTTTGACTGTCGAGTCTCGGTATATTAGAATAATACGCAAACCATCAAAATATCATAATATTGTTGTCTTTTATTGGTACCCACACATTTTCAACATTGAAGTTCGTCAACTACATGCTACCCGCGATTGCCGATTAGTATATATTGATATATCAAGTTTGGAGGGGCCGAGGGGTGAGATCAATCTGATGTGTCATATTTAAAAAATGTTAACTCGTTCTGCGAGTATTCACGCGCGTTTTCACGTATAATATAAAGATTACTGAGATAAGGCTTAGTATATCATTATTTTATAATTAATACATTATGAAATTATGTGATATTTATACCTGCCTTTATTATTATATCTTATATAACTTTTTTGAATGATATCATTCATTTGCATTATCATATTCCAAGAACAGAATATTTTGGAACCTGAATAATTTTGGTCCACTAGTATCCGAACATCTAAATTTTAAATAATTATAACTTATAACTAATAAAAACTCGATCGAAATTCAATTTGTATTCATCAACATTCTCAGAAAAATATTCTGCTTTGATAAAGAGATATTATAACAATGGGTGTTGTAATGCAAAAAGTAAAACCTAATAGTAATAGTGATAAGATCGTAGTAAATATATAATTATTTTTCAAACATTTTGACTCATAAGTCATAATGAATATAAATTGAGAAAAAAAATGTTAAGCATGTTGAAAAACTTTAGGTACAATTAAGATATTGAGTGTTTACTGTTAAAATAACCACCCTAGCTGTATCTATATGTATGAAAGATTCACCGATATATTATCTCGACAAAAAGAGATTCCCTACACATATGTGTCACTGTACTTCCGGGGTTTGTAAGGTGTGTGATTTTTTTTTACCTCAATACACTTTATACGTTTATAACCCATTCATATTGGCGAGACTAACGACTGTGCACATGAACGAGTAAAACATTGGAAACGGATTTTTGTTGCACGTGACGTTGTTTTATGGTCTCGCATTATGACGTTAGACACATAAAAGCACACGGATCACTCATTCGTTTTACATAGAAAACAGTGGCTTTATTTTTATAGTATTTCAATATTGAAATTTAAAAACGCAGTACACGTTTATTCGATATAACATTGGATTTTAATAAAATGTTCAAACTTGATAACTATATAAACGGTGGTAAAATATAAAATTAGGTATAATAGTCCATGTCGATTTTCAATGTTCAAATATTTTCTGTATTTTAGGTAAGTACTAATATATTTTTCTCATTTATTCAAAAGGGATATATCTTATATAATTTGATTGATTTATTAAGATATTATTTTCTTAACAAGAGAAACAACATTCTCCTTTAAATTAACCAGCGTAGTAATCTATCATAGGATTTAGAATTACTTTCATATTATTATTATTATTATTATTATTATTATTATTATTATTATTATTATTGTACTATGTTTTATAATATAAGATAAATATAATGTTTTGTGTATATTGAATAGTGTATTAATCAAAGTTCATAATAGTTTAAACAGTTAAATTTTAAATTGAGAAGATATAGTGTGTAGAATTGCGTCATGAATCACGTGGACAACTTTACTTCTAAAATAAACTCCGTTGTTTATTTTTTTTTAAAGAAAATGTTTGTAAAACCATGCACATTTTACTTAATTTACTTTAATTGTTGAATATGGTTTTTAATTATTAAAACTATAAAAGTTGGAGTTATGATATTCACGAAAGTCACAAAATAAAGAAATAATTACTTGAAAATCTATAAAAAAAAAAGGAGATATAATATAATATTATACCATAAATAATAACTATTATTCAAATGAATTAAAAGTATAAAAAGTATTATTATAAAATCTATTGTTTTCTCGATTTTCTTAGGTACTTAAATAAACCATGAAAATATCATACTATAATGTACCTATTCCAATATTTTTGCAAATTTCTTCAGCGTATATTATATTTTATTTCGAACAATATTAATATTTCAACTAGATACACATATTATAGTATTATACTATAGAACCGAAAACGAGATACAGCTATTAATATTATATTATTAGGATAATGAAAGTGGGATTGAAGTATATTCATTAGGGAGAAAA